TTGGAGAGGTGTGTCAGCCATCCGCACTCTTGTGGTGGGCGGTGAGCGATGGGCTGCGTGTGGGGGGGCGGTGGGGGGGGGGGGGATGATCACCTGTATCACCTGGATTTACCTGAGGGCCAGTCTCTTGAGAGGCCTCGACTGGGACAGTAAACAGCGTGTCAAAGTTCCTCTACACCCATTATTTTTTAGGGTATTTAAGGCTTTAATGGCCAGGCGATTCCCATGGGTCATTACCCTATGGGTAGCTAGAAATAAATGTACTAAGAAATCACCTCTACATCTGGAATCTTTCTCCTGGTTTACTATAAACATGTCTTCCTAGTCTTTACGGAAAAAAATATGTAACAGAAAACGGGATTTGTTCACCTATGAAGGGGCTATGCAAGCGAGAATCCCGATGGTATACTTAACTAATATAATACATTCCGGGGCTTTGTCGTAAGCGAGAAAGTTGAGAGGAACGCATGCCATCCTTGTCTGTCAAAGGTGATTTGTCCGTGGCAGTGTGTCGTGCTCTCAACGTTCTAACTAATACACCCTTGACTCGAAACCACAGCAGTCAATACCGGGATATCACAGCCGCATGAAGACATATATATCCTGATATCATAACCGCCACCAAGTAACACACCCACAGACACACCTACCACCACAGCCAGACATACAGCCACAACCACCACCAACCACCACACCCAGACACAACCACCACCACCAACCACCACACCCAGACACAACCACCACCACCAACCACCACACCCAGACACAACCACCACCAACCACCACACCCAGACACAACCACCACCACCCACCACACCCAGACACAACCACCACCACCCACCACACCCAGACACAACCACCACCAACCACCACACCCAGACACAACCACCACCACCAACCACCACACCCAGACACAACCACCACCAACCACCACACCCAGACACACAGGGACTCACAAATCACCAGTAACACAGTAGAGGAGACTCACTATAGAGTTTCTCTTCCCCACAACATGTGGTGAGGCGACCGTAGCGTGAGGCAACTCAAGTGATGTACAGATGACACCGAGTTCTGTGGCTTGTGTCGTCTTGAGGACCTGCCTGAGGAAGGAGACAACGAGGGAAGACACGTGGGCAGATGGCGCTCCATTTTGTGGTTAACCTCGTGCTGAGGTTACGCCGGGGGACATGGCCGGCCACTTTAGCATGTCTCTGGAGGGATGGGTAAGGGGGAAAGGTATTAGAACTCATATTTGGCCTTATGGGGTTTTACTTGCTGATTTCAGGCTCATATTCGGGCTGTCAACTCGATTGAGCTGAGAGATATCCGTAGGGGCTTCAGGTCCTCGGCCGCTATCTTCCTGGGCTGCGTGGTGGAAACTCTGTCGTAAACTGGAGCTGGCGTCGTATTGTTTACCTGGAGAAGAGGTCCTGTCTTCTCCAGGACCTGCCTGGAGGGCTCTAGGGTGAGAGGGTGTCTACGACCTGATGTTTATGTTCAGCGTCTTGTGTTTAGTGGCAGCTGTCGCGAGCCGGGTAGCAGACGGCTCTTATTGCCTGGGTGGTTAGGTAGTTAGCACGGCAGGGGCGTGCCTGTCGCGTCCTGGGGGCGTGGTCACGTGCCTGTCGCGTCCTGGGGGCGTGGTCACGTGCCTGTCGCGTCCTGGGGGCGTGGTCACGTGCCTGTCGCGTCCTGGGGGGCGTGGTCACGTGCCTGTTGCATCCTGGGGGGCGTGGTCACGTGCCTGTCGCGTCCTGGGGGGCGTGGTCACGTGCCTGTCGCGTCCTGGGGGGCGTGGTCACGTGCCTGTCGCGTCCTGGGGGCGTGGTCACGTGCCTGTTGCATCCTGGGGGGCGTGGTCACGTGCCTGTCGCGTCCTGGGGGGCGTGGTCACGTGCCTGTCGCGTCCTGGGGGGCGTGGTCACGTGCCTGTTGCATCCTGGGGGGCGTGGTCACGTGCCTGTCGCGTCCTGGGGGCGTGGTCACGTGCCTGTCGCGTCCTGGGGGGCGTGGTCACGGCAGGGGTGTGCCTGTCGCGTCCTGGGGGCGTGGTCACGTGCCTGTCGCGTCCTGGGGGGCGTGGTCACGTGCCTGTCGCGTCCTGGGGGGCGTGGTCACGTGCCTGTCGCGTCCTGGGGGGCGTGGTCACGTGCCTGTCACGTCCTGGGGGGCGTGGTCACGTGCCTGTCACGTCCTGGGGGGCGTGGTCACGTGCCTGTCGCGTCCTGGGGGGCGTGGTCACGTGCCTGTCACGTCCTGGGGGGCGTGGTCACGTGCCTGTCCCACGTTCTTATACTAACTTCTGCCTCTCTGTCCGTTACCATTACTTTACTTCCTCACTCCCTCTCTCCCTCCCATTCCTCACTTCCTCTCCCACCCATTCCTCACCCCCTCTCCCACCTCCTGGCCTGGTTGATGATCTCTGGCTTGTTCAAAGTGCCTCCAGCACCCAGCCTCCCCCACCTCCGGCCCCCCACAAGAACAGCATGTCAGCGAGGGG